ATCGTAGAGACAAAAATAGTACCTACGCAACCGGAACCGGAAGTCGTCAATAGACCAGTCACTAATTTGAAAGATGTATTACCGATGTCAACAGTTACCAAGGGAGATAACTTAGAAATAACACCGAATGAAAACCAACAGTACACTTCGCTAGCACCATCAAGGCAGAACATCCCAGAACATACGTACATGGAACTGAATGAAAACAATGTTTCTATGCAAACGAAAAGTATATTTAACCAGCAAGACTCAAGTACTCAACGTGAGTCTATGGTTATCCGTTCGAATACCACATCTCCTTACCGCGAAGACGAAATAATGTCAAATTATGAGAGCGTGTACAACAAACTTCATGAAAAGGACGATAAGATACAACCCCTGTATGACCACACAGGTAACCCAGACGGAATATATGACCAAATCCAGGCCAATGATGGGGATACACACGTACCAGATGACGTAGATTATGATGACGTCACTCGAATATTGAAATAGCAATAATAATAGTTTGTGAGAGTGGTGTTCACACATTGTGTGAGTGATGAAAATTCCTACTCGATAATATCAATATGATTGTAGCTGATCTTGACAAAGATAAAAGTTCCCGATAAAAATCTTGATCAAGTTTGTTGTATTTCTTCCTTAACTGTTCCCGAGGCATAGACCTGTTCGGAATGAAATACACCCAAATCCGACCAATATTCGACCACGGAAGTGATATTTGAAGACGTTATTTTGTGGATATCGTCAATATTTTACATCATGATTATGGAGTGAACAAATCTGCTCGTCATTGTCACTGTTTTATAGAAGTTTAACCATGTTTCTAGTGCCGATATGATATCAAATCCGTTTGGAATGCTGAGCTGTTCGCTAGGATGTTAAGATGAACGTGACGGACACTTTATAGGACATCATAATTTCTTTGGTTTTTACAATATCATCCAACACATATAATTTGTTAACGTAATGGATTTTCATATATTGAAATGCCTGCGGTAGGATTCGAACCTGAGACCTCTGGCTCACTAGTCTTATGCTTTGCCGATCTCTCTGGTTGAGCGGTATATTGTAGTGTTTATCAGGTTTACATACTTTCCGTCACGGAAATAATTAAGCCTCGAGTTTCCTGAGGTTACAACGATGTCTGTGGGAAAATGTCAAGTATCTTGGGTGCCAATGTTTTTGTTGTGTGAAGAAGACACAGTGTCGTATAAACGGTCGCCACACAGGCGAGAAGGCGGGGCCCAATAAGGGAAAGAGAGCATATACCTTAAAATCCTTCTTCTATAGGAATGCATGGCTTCTGTTCCAATTTGGAGTGAAGCATTTTTGGGCCCGAAAGGGGAAATACAGTAAATGCTTTAAAATCTTTCTTTTTCGGCAGGCATGCTTTAAAATCTTTCTTGTATACGAAGGCCTGGATTATGTCCCAATTTGAAGTGAAACATTCTTGGGTGAAGGGGAATATATTTTTGTAATAAACATTCTTTGCCCCGCTGACGCGTGAGACGGACCCAAAAGCCTTCGTCTTCTGTAGTACTGTCTTTAATGACTGTTGTTTTTTTAATGTCTGAAAAACTGAAAAATACTTAATTGAAGAAGAATATAAACGCTTGAAAAATAAAAAGATAATATTTTATTTTCAAATATATTATCTATAAATATGACATACTTCAAAGTTGTGTATAGAAATATCGGAAACATGATACGATATTATATATAAATGTTAGCAATATCACTGAACATTGTACATTTTCATATCTACATTTGTTTAAATGTAAGTTTCACTATACTGTCGCACACACAGTACATATTTCAGTCAATCATTCAGAAGTCCACTTCGCCCGTGGCCGACATAATTTCTAACCTGAAAGTTATTATCAATAAATCAGCCGGTCAAACAGAAACAAATTGTCGTGAGGGACGACTTCCGGTCAAATTCAGGGTAATCATTTCCTGAACTTCCTACAACGGATGTGGATTTTCAGAGCTGTTGAGCTCGTCCATGTAAAACTGTGTATATTTGTTTATGATATGTATACACTGGTGGACAGAGTTGACGAGATATATATAGAAATAGCCTATTGACCAATACAGACATTTCCAGGCTATTGTCATCTGTCCGGCTGATCTTGTTAAACCTGCCTATGGCTATTTCGAGCACCACATATTTAGTTGACCCGTGACCAGCCAATCGGTGACAAGCGATTCGGTCCACTTAATTCAGGATTGGTCAACTTGAGAGAGAATTTAGATATTTTAAATGTTATATCGTCTAAGATACACGTGTTTTGTAAAACAGAATTTTGTAAGGCTTGGCCATTGATAGAACTTATCTAACAAAGTAAGGACGGATTTTAAGGTTTAACAGGAAAAATGAAATTTAAACGAAATAGCTTACATTGATGATAGAACTGACATCTCTGTCACCGATCTTTTAGGAGAATTAAATTTTCTGAAACAGCTAGGTATACGACGTATATTCGTATGTCTGAGTTCATTATAACAACGAGGAAGAAAAACAAGTTGGATGTGTACGCTGTTGTGTATTACTGCTGAACTGTAGCTGACAAGGAGGATATTTGGTTGAAAACTTCAGTATACCTACTACGTAGTAAGTATCTTATTTCTGACAATATTTCTGACATGGTTAATGTTGAAGATACAGCATGTTGATGTATTGCTCTGATGCAGGGTTGGTTACAACACAGTATTCTCGTCTTGGTTGGCTTCATGCGATATGTTTTAGTTTCTCTTCCTTGTCCGACGACCTATCCCTTCCCAACGACGATAGAAAGCCTGTCACTTTCCTTTAACAACAAATAAACTGTTATTTTTTAATTAACAACAAAGTTTACCGCCTACAACCTTTCAACAGCCAATCCCTCAATCAACTTTCCCTCCCAACAACAACCATTCCACACGGAACTTCACAGAACTTTTCTCTCCACTATCAACCAATTCCACATTAAATTTTCCCCTCCCAACAACCAATTCCATTCTGGACTTTATTTTAAACAACAACAACAACAACAACAACAACAACAACAACAACAACAACAACAACAACAACAACAACAACAACAACAACAACAACAACAACAACAACAACAACAACAACAATATCTGCTATGACCAGACCTGCGGTTAGGATGTAAAACAATGCACTGCCTTTATTACGTTATTCAGAAGTGGCGACTTATAATTTGGAAAATTTGTTATTTTTTTTTCTAGAAACAGTTTTCTTTGACACTTCCTCACTTTTGTCCTCTAGCTGAGCGTTGGTCCCTGTGAAGACAAAATCACGCACGCTTTCACCCACACGTGCAGCTCGCGCACAAGGTAGGCCATCGTTTAAATACCAAAGCGATTATTATTATTATTAAATATTATGAAACAAGCCAAGCAAAACGTTCATACTATGTTCCATTTCTCGTACGGCTTTCACCTCCCCACTCATCGAATTTCCTCAAAAAATAAAATTTCTCCATAACTTAAGACAATTTACGTTAATTATTTCCCGAGAGATATCCGTTTTGAATCTGCAAACAATAAGCTGTTCCCCTCCATTTTTGGCACAACATTGTCAATTTTAGTTTTATCAATTAACAGGCCATGTGTGCAGTTATTGTATTGGTATATTTAACCAAGATGCCTGATAAATTAGCATTTTTCTTAATTCTTTGTTCCCCTCCCAGTTATCACACAATATATATCTGAATCTTTGTCCCTACTTAAACGATCATTTTAGAAAAATGGGTTTTTCCTTATAATTACGAATAACACTACAGTAGTATTAAACAAGGATCTTATTAGGCGCCATTTTAGTATTTATCTTCAACATGTGATATCAATTTAGTTTAATGATATCGATTATTATTGATTATTGATATCACTAATCAGAATCATTAATATAATTAATTCATTTGAAGATATCAATATTAAGAATTATATATATGAAAAATAGGTATGAATTAGTGATGTCAATAATTCTAATTAATAATATCACATTTCATATGTAAATACTAAAACGGCGCCCTATTATCTTGTGAAATATTTTTTCATTTGAAAAAAAAAGTTCATACTAATAATTCTAACGTATCCTAATGAGGACGTAATTGAAATAAAGAATATGCCAATACTACGGTCAGTGTCTTGGGTTCTCGTACAATCATGCTGAAATATCTTACAAATTCTTCAATATATCTATTATTCTTGACACGATGGAAATGTGTTACACCTTAGTACATACATTTACATTTCAGGTTGACTGGTCATATCACCGGAGTTGGTAACCGGAAACAGGATGGCCACAAACTGTGTCACTTCCGTACATCCACAGGGACAGGACATGGACCGGCAAAAATGGACTATGGCACTTTAGATCTTTGTTCGTGAGAAGAGTGGATTAGGAAGTGTGTAACCCAATTTCTTTTGGAAATGTACGTTCGAATGAAAAAAAAATTCATCAATCCGCCTATGTACCATCCGATGAAATTGCCATAGCGACATTAATGTACGATTGGATGTACAAAGCAGATTTTACCGGAAGTAGATTTTTACGTGTCGACGTATGCATGCCCAGACGGGTTTACCAAAAGCAGAAACACGTAATGATGTACTCAGTACACTTTCATGGAAATATACTCGCACCTGTTGATTAAAACGTCCAGACTTTACCGGAAGCAGTCACGCGAATGTTAATTTGGTAAGTGATCACTGCCAGCAATAGTTTTACCGGAAGTAGCTGTGCGTGTTGATGTTATTGGTGGGCTTTACAGTAAACAGAATCACAAGTAATATTATTTATAGGAAACAAATATTAACATGTTGATTTGCTTAGCTAACTTTTACCGGAAATGCTGATATGTATAGAGAAAATCTTACCCTGTATCGATGAATCTGATTCGTCACATGATTATTTTACACTAACTCCGATAAAAAGAGTCTGTGTCTGGTGTCAAAACATTGAATTGTGACTGTATATGTGTAAGGAAATGGCTATTCGTTTGAATGAAAATATGCGGAAATTTGCGATATTTTTTCTGCTGTTAAAGGCAAGTTCTAGTGTCGTTTTAGAATTTACTGAAATAACGGCACCAATGTCTTGGGATGATGCATTTCTTACGAGAAAGTGTCGTATACAGAGTGACGTTGCTGGTGACGTAAACCCGGAAAATGTGAAATTCAATCAACCCATCGATAACGTCACAGAGGCCTGGGTAGGACTGTTCGCTACGTCATCAAATGCGCTCACATTTGAAAGTTGTCGACTGTATGCAAAAGAAAACCTGGTTGGCCCGACAGAAAAGCTTAAATTTGACAATCAAACTGATCTCATTGGGTCGTGCTACCGATTTTGCAATTTCACAAGATTTGGTCTGTCAAATGATACGTGTTTCTGTCTCGAAGATGATGTAGATACCTTCCATCCGGCTATTTTATTTGATCCTAGTTCTGTGTGTCTGTCCGGCTATAGAGCATTATGTGGTTTTGGGCTCATCAACGTTCAGAATATCGCCGTCTTAGTACTGTGTACCTATAGGCCGGTAGCTGTCAATCCAATCGGCACCGGGGACTGTTCTTCATACGATATAGTGAGTCGTCAAACCAAAATGGTGGACTGTTCTCTTAAAAAAAGTTATGTCTGTTATGAAGCGACGGAAAATGGACAAACCATGGTGCCCAGCAACGATGAACGAGGATGGTGGGAAGCTGCTGCAGAATGTACACAACAAACATCATTTTTCGGAAGCAAGACATTTGTCACCCGTCATATCGAGGCTTCCGGAACAACCGTGGACTCTTACTGGACAAACATGTTCCGAAGAACATCATATACGTCCTTGTCGCCAGCTTCGGGAGAAACAGATCCCGGGCGATGTGTTGCCATTCGGAATAACTCGGGGATCTTTAGATTAATTGTGAAGGCGTGCAATTTCTCATTACCAGCCCTTTGTAACGCATTTGTTACAACGGGTTCAAACGTTATAACTAATACAGTGTTTCAGGAAACAGAACCAGTTCTTTGGCCTCTCGCTTTCGTGGCGCTCGGAATGATTATCATCATGGTAGTTTCCGTGATACTATGGCGCAAGAATAAAGCGTCGATGAGAAAAATGAGAACTTCTAAACTGATTAAACATATGAGTTATGGTTCAAGAAAACCTGAAAGTAATCATGGATTTAAGATAGGTAACGTTTTGTCTTATGAGACGAGCTTCATAGAATCGGAACCCAATCGTGTCAAAACTACAAGAGAGACCCCGTCAGTCTCACCAAACAATGAAACAACGGGGGAACAAGAAGAGAACACAACAGCACCACCACCAGATAACATTTATAACGAACTCCACGAGAAGGAAACGGACAAACAGACAGATGATACATACGATCACACGCGCAACATAAACTTGAATGACGGCACATACGATGGCTTCCGCCGTTCGGATTCTCTCGGGAATGATACAGAGGCTGATAACCTGGAATACGATACTATGGCTAATATTAATGCGCAGAGCACTGAAGGAAATAGTATTTATGACACGTGCAGTAATGATCACATAGCGAAACCGGAAGTGACTGACTTAAATGAATATGATTCTATGTCCAATATACATGATGCAAAACTCGAATGATGTGTTTATGTGTCGTGTTTGTTAACATGCATCTTAACGAGCACATGACGGAGCAGACAGTGACTTATTTGACTTTTTAAGATATTGTTTGGTACAGGAAGTTTTTTAAAAAAGAGATCTGGATATAATCGGAACATTTCGGAGATGCTGATACAATCGGAACATTTCGGAGATGCTGATACAATCGGAACATTTCGGAGATGCTGATACAATCGGAACATTTCGGAGATGCTGATACAATCGGAACATTTCGGGAATGTGATAAAACATTTATAGATGTTGGTCTTTGGTCATCTACAAATTAGAATTAGAATTTCTTAAGTCAAATTTAAAACTTTAGATTCAAGTTTAAATTACATAAGTGTACATATTTTATCAAGTTCAGTTAATCTATATGATGCGAGTTGTTAAGTTTAATTTATTTTAAACTCATTTTATTGACATATGAAATGACAAAGGTATTAGTGAGGCTGTAACACAATTCAAATTATCTTATAAGTTCTATAAATACATAAACACAGGTGTAAGATTCTATTTATCTTATAACTCATATTTCTAGAAAATCATGTGACGCCATATAGGGGTGTCTTATTCATGACGTCACAATAGTGTGAAAATTTGCCTTACGATATGTTTGGCCTTATGGCATAATACAACTGGTCAGTTATGTGATAAATTGTAGTATGGTTTTGTTTCTTTATCTTAAGCAGGAAAACAGCATTACAGACTCGCCTTAGAGACGATATGGATACCACGGTATCAAATTCTAAATTTAGAAATGGTTTTGAAATTTGATTCTTTAGAACTCTGGTTAGGTAACGTTTGTGGTGATTGGGAAATCCTCAAATAAGGGAAAGCATATATTTTCAGGTTCACTGCGAATTCTATATGAAACTGATGGGTATTGTTTTCAGTATGTCGTAGCATTTCAATATTTTCCATGGAAAAAAGAAACAAATATAAATTTTAAAAAATCCTTCTTACCCATTATTTTGTTCGGTTGGGTCTTTCTACAGCAATCAATGTACAACATACATTCGTCAACAGTGTAAACTCTACAATTTAACGTCACCGCTTATTTTTACCTAATCATTAAACTGGAGACAGGAACCTGTGTGAATGAGTTACCTACAAGTTTATCACTTACATGTAGTGGTTTAAAGTATGGCGTGGGCACTTGTACAATTGTAAACGTTAAAATAAAATGCATTTTTGTTAAATTCCAGAGTTCATGTTTTTTTCTGACTGAAAACATTTCTAGTTTTTGCAACGTAATTTAGTATCGCTTTTACTATAACGTAAGGAAGTACACCATTATTTGTAATTTCACTGTGATTGGTTGGAATATCTGTTAAATACTTCCAGCTTCCGTTTGATTTACCACGATTTACATAATGGGTGTCGTTGATGAAGCAAAAGACGTTTTCTGAAACATCTGTTTTAGTTTTTCCTTGTACTTTTTTCTAGGGTCTCCATGTAAATTATTTCATTCATTTGAATTTATATTTTGTTGACTTGTCGTTTATTTTATTTAAAAATAAATTAAATCTCCATTCTCCTTAGTCAAAGCTTCTTTTTGGTTGTCCGCACGCAGGACACTTTTTCGGTCAGTTCTCCTCTTTTCCGTCCCATCCGTCTCTTATCCGATTACCTCCCCATGATTGAACTCTTTACGCCTGATCCCCATCTCCTAATATCTAGTAAGACAGTATGGCAAACTTTTAATACTGGATCCTAACAAAAAATTTCATTGGGTGCGTATTAATGGAATAGATATATGGATCAATAAAGCAATAACGACAGTACGGACAAGTATATTGCCAACTTTTCGAGACAACCTGCCTCCTTATAAAGACACATATATTACATACATTACATCACATACATAGAACATAAAACAAATACAAAGTTATAAATTAAAATCGTGAACGATAGTGTAAATTTCGTTATCTTGATGATCTCGCGGGGGCCCTTTATCGGGGTCAAAACACTATCCTAAGTTGTTGTATGGAAGATGGTGATTCAACTTTGAGTTAAGGAGTTTACCGGTACATCTTGGAACCTCTCTAAATAAGGAATAGCTTATAATTTTTTTTTAAAAATATGCTGAAAAAATATGTATAATTTGAGAAGTAAATAAACATACTATTGCCTGTGTTTATTTTCTTGGTTGTAGCTGACGACCATATCATATATACATTTGTACCACGATTACTGAATATTTCTGTAACGATTGATAATTGATCCTGTCTACATATTTTATCTGGCAAAACAATACTGTTGCTGCGTCCGCACCAGCTGAAGTTACCGACATGCTTTATACTGGACATGGAAGCACAACTTCACCTTTGGTGTTGAATTTTCAGGGATATGATATTACAATTATCTGCCTGTTATATATTGTGCAAATTGTCTTGTCTTGTTATAAATCGTCTGCAAAACACTTCAGATCAGGTTGTCCTTCGCCCATCTTCTATTTAACAGGCTCGGTCACTTCCTGAAGGTTTTACAGATACGATGGAGACGATAGATTTACAGGGGTGTTTTCAGACTAACACGTGGCTGTAAAGGTGCTAATTCTCCGAAATATAAGTCAAGAATTAAACAAGAATATAGCCAGTCTGATAAGTCACTTTTACACGGAGTTGGTAAGGTATTGATGATTCGATGGACAATTTTTTTCTATAGTTCAGCTGATCAGTTGTTTAAAGTCTATCTTTAAAATACCCCGGCAGAGTCACACGCTCGTCCTAAATCAGATGATATAGACATTGTGATAAAATCAAGGAAAATTTAACAAACCTACATTATCATCCCAAAGGTATGTTGTTTCATCTGTAATTTTTTGTGAGCGTTATCTCCCTTGAAATATTCGACGCTGTTTGAAGAAACGTTTCTATGTCTCTCCCGACATTTTTTATTCATGACCCTTAGTATTTGACAATTTTTAAAAGATTCCTGATAGGTTTTGATTGGATGAAGTTGTGCTTTCCCAATGGCATTTTGATCAGACAAATATTGCTTCATTTCCATACTTTTCTTACCAGGAAAGTTACAGGGGCACCAAAGCTGTACATATATATATAGATGATAATTAGATAATTCTCTGTTGTGAATTTTCCATTTCTAAGTAGTAATGAACATGTTGCAGTTGATCAGGTATACAAGGACTTGTTTCCAATATCATAATTTCAGTGAAAAATGTTGAACAGCTGACAAACTTACAAAACATGGCTTCGAAAGATAAAGGCTTAGACGATTTGTAATCATAGTGATCTCATTGGGAAATATCATGTTTGGTGCGATATGAAGTTACACGTGTTTGATACAGGTTAGTTTGCCTATTGGTTTCATTGTTGTTAACCTTCCATTTGTGAGCGTAACGTTACTTTCTTTTCACATAGCGGATGTCATCAATAAAGCAGAAAACGCTTGTCCTACTGGAACACATGGTCTTGTAGTCCTTGTATACGTTTTAACAGTTTGCTTTTAAATCTTTGGATTATTGACATAATGCGTCGTTTGATTTGACATATCAGCATCACCACTATACGATCAGGTAAGCGATGAAATTGGAATCTATCAGCTCCTGATTAGTACATGAATTGATGATATTATCGTTAAACACTTAACAACTGTACGCTCATCTCGATTCTACAATATATCACACATATTTATGTGTATTACGTATGAATGAGATTGTTCTCGAGTTCGTTACTACTCAATGCTATTCAGTTGCGCACGATCGCGCCTTTTGAGTATACTCGGAGAGACAAGTTTTCGGGGAGTTCCCAATATTCTATCTTCCCGGGTTTCGTACTTAATTCACCAGCATGAAATAAATTTGGTTATTTTCGTGAAATACATATATGTGATTTATTGTTGCTATTTTTTTTTATCACGGATAAACTCTGTGAAATACAATGTATTAGGTTCTCATCTGAATGAAGCAATAATGTTTGGTTTTGGATCACCTTCGATATGCCATTTTATTTGTTAAATTGTTCTATCATGAAAGTCTAATAGGGCCTATAAACTCTCTATATTTTTTGTATCTACCACTCGTTCGCAACAACAATGAAGGGTTGAAACATATTTCATTCCGGAGCGGGCGCAGTACCGTACACCGGATATAGCTGTGTAGTACCGTACACCGGATATAGCTAGATAAAATCAAACGGGGAGACTGCTATTTCCGGTGTACGATACTACACTCTTGCCCTAAACGATCGAAAAATAATACAAGCTGACATTTGTATTAAGGATCGTGTGTTTTGTCGTCAAGTTGCACGACATTTTGATCAGTTAAACTAAGTCGACATTAGAAAGACCACCAGATACAGATGTTGCCTAAATTCCCCCTGCTTTTATGACGGTCATCGCGTCATGCCATATTATTCAGATCGGAAGTTTCCAAGTGTGCCGTTCTATCAGTACACTTAACAAACAACGAAAACGACCTACACTGAACACTGAGCCTGAGCGTTCTCCGATGAATGAGACAACGACCACAATGTGTCATTTTATCATTAGTTGACCTCTTTGTTTTAAAGCAGCATTCACAATGTACCTTGAAGTGTGAAATTGGTTTTGATATATTTGACAAGCTTGTGTTTTGTTAAACAGTATGGATGATGTCTGACGGGTTTTTGGCTTGATGACAGGTTTGTATTTTGTTTGAAAATATGGTGTTATGTTAGGCAGGTTTGTGGTTTGTTTGATAGGTTTGTGGTTTATTCGATAGGGTAAGTCTTGTTTGACAGATATGTTTTTTTTTTTTTTTTGACAGTTTGAGGTTATGTCTGTCATTTTTGTTATGTTGGACAAGTTTGTGTTATAGTTGACAGGTATGTGTTTTGTTTAACAGTTTTGTGTTTTGTTTAAATGGTTAATGTGTGGTTTGAGTGGTTTTAATTTTTTCGTTTGTTTTGGATATGGCAGTTATATAGTTTATTTGAAAAGCTTGAAGTTTTGAATATTGTTTATTTGTCAGGTTTTAA